GTGATAGACTCCAGCCTCCATGGATCTGTGCTCAGAGCTTGTTCCTGTGCTGCCTTTCAGCCACTTCCTCTGTCTGCTGGTGGTACATGGCGTGCAGAGTCCTGTCCTTCCATGACTGTTCTTCTCCTCGCTCCTCTTCTTTCTTGGGTTTCTGCTCAGTGAGGTATTCACCAAGCGTGCGGTGTGGTAGTCTCCTGATGTACTCATGGATGTTTGTTTCATCCTGGGTGAAAAATGATCCTGTTTTTCAGATTGGCTGCTCTCGCACTCAGTGCACCTTCAGTTGTAGTAGGGGCTTGGTACCCAATCTTGGTACCGGGTGCAAGCTCCATGGCAACCCCGTGAGCCACGGGTGTGAGCTGTACGAGTGTCTGACCTGTGGTTTTTGTTGGTGAAGAGGTTCCTCTCTGAGAACATGTCAGTTTTTCTCTGAGTTTGTGTGAAATGAAGTAACAAAGCTTTCTGTCGTTCAGCTCAGCACAGAAGACGCCCTCTCAGCCCAGATCAAGGAGGCTCAGCACTGCAGCATCCCGGGCTGCCTCCACCTCGAGCGCCGCTGCCTCCACCTCTGCCATGGATGACTTCGAGGAGCTGATCAATGAGTTTACTGACGACCACCTTGATGATGACGTGGACCCCAGTATCGGAGAGGACGACCTGCTGCAAGAGCTTTCTGAAATGATTGACAGCTGAGAGGACCCAATCAGCAGTCTGTGTCTCTCTGGGTAGTGGGACTCTGCTCTGTGGTAGATGTTGGGCTATTTAGATGTATTTCCTTCTTAAAATAACTTTTTTTAACCTATGAGTCCATATGTTGCTCTTTACATTTTCATCATCTTCTCTCAAAGACAGACTATAATTTCCTCTTCAGGTGAATATGTGATGATGGGGGAATTACTCTGCAGGGCCTCAGTCCTCTTCATCATGTGTGTTTATGATCCCACTCCAACAAAAGCTGTCGTGTTAGAGATGTGCTTACCACGATCCCAGGGTTGTGTGGATGCTGTTCATGTAGAGAGAAGTTATATCTGTGTACTGTGTATGCACCAGAACTATGTGTTTGTTCTGTGAGTGGACGAGCCTGTTCACACATCGTGATCCGTTTGATTTCAGCGAGGACTCACAGAACTACGATGATCACCGTTTAAATTAATTTATTGGAAAGGCGTGTGTGCAGTCCTTCACATGTGATCGAGTCTATCCCCCTGTGACTGCACTCACTCTATATGTTTTATTAATGTGTGTTTCTTTCATCACTTATGTTTAGTAATGGACGTCCTTTTAACCTCGAACAGTTGGTGTCGGTGTGTAAGAACTCTCGTTTGTTATTTATGAGCAGCTCAGGGACTGTTTCACATGTTTCTATGTTCTTTATACAATGAAAAAAAGAAATGGGGGGGCTTTGATTTTAGCAGTACTGCCTAGAGATGATTTTTTGTTTGGTCTGTTAGTAGATCAGCTTACTTTGTCTCTGTCCTGACCCTCTCACACAGGCTGACTATTCAGAGTGACTTGTACATTTATTATGTAAATAAAAATTATTTTAAATTAATTCGAATTCTTGTTCATTATTTACTATATTGCCCCCTGGGGATAAATAAAGTTTTCTGAATCTTAATATATATATATGTCAGTTTGCGTTCTTACCATGTTTGAGCTATTGTGAGTAAAAAAGGTGTCAAAGTCAGACAGCTTCAGAAGGCAGACCAGAAATTTTAATAAAGATTTTACAAACAACCTGCAGAATAAATATAGATAGAAAGGATTTATTGCAAAGGAACTCCAGATATGAAAGTTTTATGGCTTTATTTCAGTTTCTAAGACTAATTTGTATGCAGAGACATGACGATATGGTTGTATTTTTTTGATAATTAATTCATTTTTGATTATTTGGTATGAGCTGGTCCACCCTCCAAGCCAGTTGGTGGCGGTAGTGCACATCATTGTTGTTTGCCAACCGCCAAAAAAACGAAGAAGAAGAAGGCGAAGAAGAAGAAGAAGAAGCCGTGTCAATGGCCCCTCCAGGCAGCAGGTGGCGTCACGCAGCTGGCAGAAGCCGGTGTATCTTAGCTTCCGTCGGAGAGGATGTAAACAGAAGGACACCGAGTCTTGAGAGAAAACATGACCAAGCTGGAGCTCCTCAACGTGTTTCTGAACGACAGGCTCACGGCGGCGGCCGAAGACATTTTTCGCGCCGTAAAAGACACGGTGGTGGAGTACCAGAGTGAAATCCTGCGCTCCAAGGAGGAGAACGAGCGACTCAAACGGCTCCTGAACGTGGCCGTCCAGCGGCTACTGCTGCAGTCAGGTGAAGAGCATCGGCTCACGGCGCTCACTGGTAAAAACCAGCCCAAGTGTCAGTGTCCCAGCGGTAGCTCCAGCTATGTGGGAGCTACCGCTGCTACACACGGGTGTGCTAGCACAGACACACGAAGTCAGTTTGCTCTTTGGGGTTTGGAAACAACACTGTTGGTAGTTTAACCTGTAAAAATCAACTAAACCCAGG